AAATTTAATCAAATGACACATTGAAAATTTGATCAACAATAACATTAAAAATTATTTTTTTTTTGTGGACAATTATTGACAGCCTGGTGCAACTATTGGCATGGCTGTCAACTGGTGCATCTATTGGCATGGCAAAATTTAAAAGAGAATTTTATCTTGGGAAAACTTGGCACTAATTATAGAATTGAAACTCAAATTATTCAATGACCGCTCATGAAGTGGCTATCAAAAACTCGGAGGTCGGACTAAAAATTTCTAATAATCTATTATTTTAAACATATTGCATTTTTGTTTTGAAACAATTTATTTACTTTGTATTGTACTTTTTTTTGAAATTATGAAATCTTTAATTTTTTCAAGATCTATTCGAACTTGTTTTGTATAGTCAGTTATAAGTATATACATACATAATTTACCAGAATTTGCTTTTGGTTATTAATTATTTACTTAAAATAAGCTATAACCAATTGAAAATTTTTAAAACTGTACAGAACATATTTGCGCGAAATAAATTATACATATGTACATGTGTGTGTCTGTTCCTCTTTTCTATAAAAACTTTAAATATACATCCTTCAAAGTCCTTTAATTTCCTTTTTAATTTACCAAAAAATATTAACAAAAAAAAAGAAAAAAAAAGAAAATCCTTTGGTTTTCATCATTTAAAGCTCACGGCAATTTCTTTCAATATATACAATTTCGTTTGTTATTCATGCACATGCAAAAGCAGGAAATAAAAGAAAAAAAAAAGAAATTAACGTGAATATCCCTTTTTAATAAAAGCAATTGCAGAAATAAAATAAAATAAAGGTAAAAGAAAATATTATTAAATGCGTTAAATAAATATCTGCGATGGTTCTATTATAAATAAATCATTGGATCGTCATTGTGTATATAATTGCACAAGAACTCTAGGAATTTTATTTCCAACAAATAGACACATTTTAAAATTTCAAATAAAACACAAAGTTCCTGTTCAACTTTTATAAAAGGTTTATTCTTTAAAATGTCCATTATCTGCAATTAGTTACTCCTACAACTCATTTTTCATATTTTTAAAAAATTTATAGAAATAATTTTAAATAATCGCTTTATATTAACTATGGGTAAGTACAAATTATTTAAATCAACAAATTCTCAACTAAACTAATTCGATAGAAAATCAACCCCCGAAATATTTATCCTAAGACGACACAAACAATAAGTGTTAGATGGTTTGCTGGACTTAAGAGGGTTTACTGGAGCGTTAAGATTCTGCTTTTCAAATGGTTCTAATAATGCATATTCAGAACAGGGATAACGCATAAATCAACAAAAACACTCCATATGTACCATACCTCCCTATGTATTGCAAATTTATAAGAATTGATACTTTTAATCAAGGTCGTTGAAGCCACAATCAAAGAGGAATGATAGACTGATTCTCGAATTACAAATTCACACAAAATTGATTCTCGAATTACAGCTTTAGTAGCCCTTATACTTAGCATTATAATACACAATACGTAACTTATTTAATAATTTAAATAAGTTAAACGCTAAGGTTAAAAAAAGAAGTATGATTCGCTTCTGCTTCTCTTTCTTTAAATCTTGAAACCATAGTCTAGGATATTCATTATATTCATGTAGTTTATATAGATGTATATAAACTACACTCCGCTACATAAACTACTCATAATTCCTGTTCTCGAAATATCCATAAAAATAAACCTGGTGGAGACTCTAACAATTTCCTTGAATTTCAAAATTTCTTTTCAGTATTTCGATCATCATTTCCAATATTACATAATTAGTTATACATATACATATTATGTAACAATTTAAGTTTACTGTTTTCCCAACTTCAGTTTATTATTTATATCCGCACGTACATACATACATACCTACAAGAAAAAGTATATTTTATCAGCGAGAACACAAAATCCAACATCTTTTTAAACTGAAAAAATTCTTTACGGAAATAAAATTGAATTCTTACCATATTTAAAATGACAGCATAATTGACATAGAAAAGGAAAATAGCAACATGAAATAATTAAAAATTATCGTGAAAATGGTATGAAACAAAAACTGCAACAAAACTTATTGATCTTATTAAGGCAATCGGCAAAAGGTTAAAAGGTACAGTACAAGAAATGGAGAATTGTGTTTTTTAAAATTTCAGAGAATTTTTTCTTTAATTTTTATATTTTTATAGTTCTTTAATTTTCAACAGAAAAAAATGTCCAAATAAATGAAAAAATTGAGAAAACAAGGATCTTTAAGTGTGCGATTAGAATTTTAATAAATTTTTGGTGCGGTATAGAAAAAGAAGTAAATAAACACGGAAGCAATAATTAAAACATGGAGGAGAAAGTATCGCAGAAAGTATACCTATAAATATATACGTAAGTACATAGGTACATGTACATATATTGTAGCGTACATATAGCATACAAAACTTGTGAAAATTTTAAATTTAAAACATTTTTCACTGACAGGATGATGAAAAGAAAAAGCGATAAAACAAAAGTTAGTGGAATTAACATGAACAGCCGGTATAAAAAGTTAAATGGAATCTTTATACTATTAAAGCTTTAAGCATTTAATGTAAAAAATTATTTTGAACTCGAGCTTATACTATTATTAAAAATTATTGAGTAATAGCGGCATTCAATTAAATTCAGTTGTAATAGAAAAATTAATAAATATATGGTATAAGACAATACATTCACACTATTGAAAAGATCATGCATATATGTATGTAGCAAAAGAAATTTATTAGATTCATGCATGGGAACTTCAAACAAGCAGTGCCTATACGCATCTTCAAGTTATGATTAACTCCATCTCTAAATTAATATACCTCCACTAAAGTGTCAAACATATAAAAAGTAAATCGGCTGTCGAGGAAAAACGTACCGAAATTGTGATATCGAAGAAAGATCTAACCTTTAATTTTAACACAAAATACCAATTTCCTTTTGGAAGATCTTTAGTTCCTGTACGGAAACGCCAAGTTAGTGCAAAGGTAATAATTGGTCTGTAAAACCAGTTTTATCTGTTCAAAATTTTGATGATTTTTTAGGGTTGGAGTCACGCCAAATTAAACTTAAAGCTCATATTTTAAAAAAAAAATTGATTTATTATGAATTTATTTGTATATTTCATTTATATGAAAAACGTTTTTCTTGCAATTTTCTCCTTAAGGATTCTCTTATTTCACTAACCACATGTACACTACACTTTTCATTTTTCATAATAAAGATGGTGCTTAATATCTGCGCAGACTATTGGAGAATAACAGGTTTTCTTCTCGATTAACATGTTAATAAAATCCCACATAAAAAGACTTGTTTTCGTATAAAACAGGTTTTTTTGTTCTTTATTAAAATTTTTTTCATTAAATTTTTTTGAAATTAAATTTCCGGAAGCAAATTTCCCACAAATTTATACTCTGTTCACACTACAAAGAACATGTTATTCTCGAATAATATGTTACACATACATAGTTTTTAATTACATTGTGAAAAATTTGTCAAAGTAAAACTGCTTTTACTATTGTGATTGATTTATCTTTAGGATTTTTTCCTCAAATCAAAGGAAATTTTGAAAGAAACTTCGAAAAATTTTTAAAAAATTTAAATTCATAATAATTTTTAATAACTGTAAGTTCAAAAATATTTCAAAATACAAAGATATTTTTTCAAAATTTGTAAATAAACCAACAATGTCAACCAAAGCAAGTTTACTGTCAAATGAAGCTGTTTTCATACAGTGTGAATCCAATTTTGTACAAATCGAACAAAATTGTTCCATAATCTAAATAAAATATTAAACACTATTCATTAGCCTTTTGAAAAATTATTAGATTATTAAGTCATTGTGAATTAACAGGAAAACTTGTACATATTGATTTAAAACATTAAGCTCTTTAGTATACAATGCGACATCTTTTAATCGAATTTATAATCAATTTGTGACATTTCTATCGATATTTTGTTTTGTGTATTTTTTAATACTCATTAGGGATGTACTGCAATCCAGGTACTTTATTACTTTTACCTGTTACTTTTAAAAATACGTACACATTATGTTATAACAATTAGATATAAACAGCAAAATTTTAAGAATGTTTCTATTTATTACACCTCTGAAAGTCATTCAATGGAAAAGCAAAACTTAGTAAAAAATAAAAAAAATATTAAATTCAAAATCAAAAATAAAATTTAAAATTATGAAAGATAATGTTATAATATAAAGCTAGTATAAGAATAAATTAAATACAAAGCTGCCACAGTAAATATAATCAGTACTGCGATATTGGTATTTTCAATGCCAAAATTACCGTAACAGATTTTATTTTTGTGTTGAGTTTCTTCAAACATGCATTTTTGCCATAATAGTGACTTTAAAAATCGTTAAAAAATCTTTGAAAAAGACATCCGAAATGTTTAATTTTTTACATGAATAATATTAATGCAATTGTTAAAAAGGAACCTGGTAATGTCAAAACAGATATCAAATATTGAAATATTTAGCTTCAAAATTGAAAACAAAATTACTTGTTTCATGTTATTTATGTTATGTATATGAATTCGTTTGCGGGTGACAGTGTTTTTAATCCGTCATGTTTTATGATGTAATATTATTAGACTGGAATTATTTTGTTCAAGATGGATATGTTTATATGTTATAGATATACGCACATATATGTTATACGTGATACTCTATTTAATCGTTCCTTGTTTTAGTTCTACTACATCTGAATTTCAAAGTTTTTAACATTTAGCATAAAAAAGCATTCATTATGCTTAATCTAGCACAATTAAATCGACGAGACATCGCAAATTATAATAAGAATATAATATGACAATATGACAGGATGATATGACAATATAATATACAAGTAACTAGAACAACATGTACTTGAAATTGGAATATTTGAAGTAACGAGTACTTAGTATTCGCATATCACGAATTGTCATTGTCAAGTAAAAATATATAGACATACATATTTCGTTTTTTTCTTTTCTCTTCGTAAAAATGAAAATTAATAAAAATTAATCATTATCATATCTTAGCAACGTTAAAAAATATATTTAGTTATTAGAGACTTTTAGTTAGGATATTTAACAAAAAAATTAAAAAACAAAGTTATTAATATACCAAATGAACGGTTTAAGGTAAATGAAGTTTATTAGAAAGTTTATGTTTGTAGAGAATTTCTTTGTCTTATGTCAAGTGATCGTCCTACTACAAAGTGGCTGATATGAAAAAAATTGATATGTAATTAAATATAAAAAAGAAATAATAAAAATAATTATATTTTGGATTGATATTATTACAATAATTGTATTTTTTAGTTTAAGTGAATTATGTTGCATGTTTTGCTGTCCGCCATGTCCAGGACCTATTGCAGCAAAATTGGCCTTCCAACCACCAGAACCAACATATAAGCTCACATCTGCCGATGATACGAATACAAAGGTAAACTCAAAAAATTGTTATCGTAGCACAAATAAAAGTGATTCATTGTTTACTCATTTTCTTGTATTAAAAATTTTATTTATCGAGAGTTTCTACTTTTTTTTTTATTTTTTTTTTATTTTAAAGTATAATCTACATTTAACAGAAAGGGCTGAATGGCAATATTCGGAAAGAGATAAAGGTAAAGTTGAAGGATTTTTTACAAGGACTTCACGTGGCAATTTAATAACATGCATTTATGTAAAATGTAGTAAAAATGCAAAATATACATTACTATTTTCGCATGGTAATGCTGTTGATTTAGGTCAAATGAGTAGTTTCTATTTAGGTTTAGGTGCGCGTATTAATTGCAATATATTTAGCTATGATTATTCAGGATATGGTATGAGCGGTGGTAAGCCATCTGAAAAAAATTTATATGCAGATATTGACGCAGCTTGGCAAGCCTTAAAATCAAGGTATTATTAAAATATAAAATTTTTTGATAAGATATGCGAATAACGAAAAATTGAATTTCAGGTTTAATGTTAGTCCTGAAAACATAATACTTTATGGCCAAAGTATAGGAACTGTACCAACAGTAGATTTGGCAACAAAACATGAAGTTGGTGCGGTTATCTTACATTCTCCTTTGATGTCTGGAATGAGAGTTGTTTTTAGAAAAACAAAACGGACTTGGTTTTTTGACGCATTTCCCAGGTATTTCTAAGAAACCTTTTAAAAATAATGAGATTTTTTCCTTTTTAGACTAAGTTAATACTTTTCTAAAGAATATAGTACAATTCAAATGTTAAAGTTCATTTTAATGTAGATTAGCTATCTAAAAATTGTCGATAAGAAATTACAACGAAATTTGTTTCATACATATGACAAAACGATCATTATTATAGATTATTTGAACTTTTCTAATTGTTGAAATTGAATTGAGAATTGATTTTAAATTATTCAACAACGAAAAATTTTGAAATACATATATTAAGGTTTTAAAAATTTTTTTTAGTATTGATAAGGCATCAAAGGTTAAATCTCCCGTTCTCGTGATACACGGAACAGACGATGAGGTAATAGATTTCTCTCATGGCATTGGAATTTATGAAAAGTGTCCAAAAGCTGTAGAACCCCTTTGGGTTGAAGTAAGTAATATTATTTTTATTATGATTTTCATATCTGAACAACAAATTTTTAGGGTGCCGGGCATAATGATGTTGAATTACATAGTCAATATTTTGACCGATTAAAAAAATTTTTAACGGTAGAATTAGTTAAATGACAATTAAAATCACAGCCCAATGCCGAAAAAAGTAATACTGAAAAAGATCCAAATGATGGTATTTAATTAATTGTATGCCAAGAAGAAGCATTTTGTTAGCTGCCTTTTCTATTTTTAGCTTCGACATCAAGTTCAGTTTCCACGAAAGCATTGGCTGAAAAATTACTCTAGCATAAGGGGACTGGCTCTTGTGCTGGGGCGACACATTCAAATTATTATAAGTTATTAAACGAAACAAATGCATCAACCCGCAAGCTTGGTGCAACAACAATCTCTGAGTCATATAATGTTGCCACTAGATTAGAAAAAGCCTCAGTGGAGAGCCAATCCGGTCAACGTTTGTCTTCATATGCATTTAATTCCTCAACATCCATAACAACTACAGATAATTTTAAAAAAACAAATTATTCTCAATCCCCAAAAACACCGAAGAAATCTCCAATATTGCCTACTAAGGAGAGTTTGATTTCATCATCTTTGTCGTCTCCACATAAACCAAGTGCAACCAACTTTATATATTCCAATAACTTAAAGTCTCCTTCCCATATGGATTGTGTTCTAAAATGCACATGCCCGAAAAGTCCGAATTTAAATTCTTTACAACATCCTTTACTAACAAAGCAGCAAAATATTTTAGAACATACCGGACAAGATTCAAGGTATTTAAATTGCAAATCGGTATGTGATGCGAACACAAGTCCAGGCTTACGTTGCATTCGAAGCCCGAAAATTGATCAGAAACATGCTTGTGAAGAAAATTTGCTCAAGGATTTTAATAAAAATGTAAATGAGAATACGGATAAAAATCAGAGATATCATGCAAAGCCGAATCCAAGTCCTAGACGTTTAATATCAACAAGAAATGCCGCTACGAGCCCCCATTTGGATATGAGAAAAGTTCAAAGAAATGAATTGAAAACTAAAGATGTGAGAAAAGAAAAATATATTGAAATGGGAAATACTGAAGTTGCAATATCATCCAATCGCGCTTCCTTAGAAAAATCTAATTCTTTGGGTGAATCAAAACCAAATCGACAATTAAGGACTACCAGAAGTTTGTCCCCTAGGCCCCCTGTTCGTCATCAACATGCCATTATGGTTTCAGATGAAAATGATATAGTTTCTGTAAAGGTTTCACCAAGTGATGATTATGAGACTTCATTAAATAATAATCATGAAAATAATAATCCAAACAACATAATGAATAATAATATTGCTTCAGCATCGATTCCTCTCAATAAAGCTTCATTTCTAGATCGTACTACTGAGAAAATAGACATAAAAAGGAAACATAAAGCAAAAAGTGAACAAACATCTCCAAACATTTCCGATTTTGACGGCATATTTACGTATGAATGTAAGGCAAATAATAAAAGTACAGGTTGCTTAATATATGTTCCCTCAGACCCATGGCTGAAGATGCCCGATTCTGAAAATAGGAATGACATAATTGTATCATCTTTGAGAAAACCAAAACTAAGTACAACAAAAAGTTCTAAATTGTCGAAGGAAACACGCTCTCTAAGTCGTGGCAATATTGATACGTCTGATCCATGGGTTTGGAGGAAAGAATCTGAAATTATTAATAAAATATCTACTAGTAATAATAATATTAAACGTTCTCCAAAACAAGATGCATATCGTCAATCAAAATCGTTTTCAGTTACGAAATTTGCTGATTTTTCGATATCGGATAATAATTTTACAAACACTAATAATAGACCAAAATTACAACGATGTAAATCACCATTTTTTACGGAAGACGAGTTTAAGCGGGCTCTTAACAATAAAATACCTCCACCACCTTCATCGCCAACATTTCTTATAGCTCCACCAGATAATCAGTATTCGTCTACATCAATATATAACTATCCATCGGTTCAACAAACATCCCAACCTCAACCAACATCACCATCGGCAGTTAATAAATCTAATCGAAATATTATATCGGCAAATTGCTCACCTCGTAAGGATTCTTCATTAAGTTTTCAATTGCAACAAAATCAACCGCAACAACATAAACAGCAGCAACAACAGCAATCTCAGCAAATTAATAAAAGCTTATTGAATGTTTTTAATCCGAACATAATGCAAGCAAGGCATAGTTTTTCATCAGGTTCTACTTTATCAACACAAAAAGATGACGAATTACAGTTAAATATACGCCGTTTGAGTGAACAAATTAAACATAATCAAAGCGGTAGTAACTCTGGTATTGTTGGTATCGGAAGTAGTGGCGGTGCTGATTTCTCTGATTATTTAAAACAATTTCGTTGTAGTGAAGCTAAAAAAGCAGCAGCCGAATTAGCTGCATTGCAGCAATCATCAACAAATTCTAATACAATTACATCAACGATAAGTACTGCACCCTCATCATTAACTCATGAACAATCTGTAATAAAATCACCTAGAAATACAACGAAAAATTCTGATCGGGTATTAGAGACAACGTGTTAAAATAAATTAAAATTTATATTGGAAGAAAATATAATACATATATCTATACATAATATTATATATATATTTTATTTTGTATCTTTAAGCAACTTAAAATATTTTTTTTTTAATTTAATTATAAGAAGAAAAGTATTTAAACAAGGAAAAAAAACAATTAATGAAGAAAAAAGTGAAAAACGCAAAAAAAAATTTACCGGAAAATTGACTTAATTATTCTATAATTATTATTTTGTGATAATTTCTTTTACATATTAATATATATCTACGCAGAATTTATGTATGATTTGTTTATATATTGTAATAGTAGTTTCATTTTGCGAAATTTAAATTTCAAGAATTGCAGTTTAGCCGAGAGATTTATTAGAAAGTGCATATAAGTTATATTTTATAGCAGTTTGTAATGAAATTATTTTCAAAAATAATAATTATTGTTTAAAAATATAACAACGTAAAATTTAAATTGTGCAATTTCAATTTTTCCAGAATAAATTTATAAATTTAATTTCATTGTATTGAATTTTTATTTCATAGTATTTATATAATAAAACAAAAAAATAAAAACAATTAATTAAACATATATTTTTTTTTAAATTTGCATTATGTTATAAAACTTTGTATCCAGTTCAAAAAAATATTGTATTCGCATTTAATAATTTAATTGTATACATACGTATATACATATATTATATTAAAATACATAAAATATTAAAACAGTTGTATCGCTCAATGTCTATGTGTTCGCAATATTATTAAAAAAGTAAATAATATTCTAACTTTTTTATTTATTTGAAATAAAATTCGTCAATTTTTCTAATTTTCGTGCAATCATTCACTTATAATTCAATTAAATTTTTCTCTTGAGATATTTTGAACATTTTGAGAGTATTGACTGTAAGTTAATTATATTTTAAGTAAGTTAAATTTTTTAAAAAAAAATTTTTAAGTAATATAAATATTTCAAAATAAAAATAATTTCATATTATCATTAGAATTTATAACATATACACATATACATATATAAAAATACAAAAAAAAAAAATAAAATATCAATTAAGTTAATTTTAGAAACAATCAATTACAAGTTTAATTTAAATTTCATCATAAATATATTTTGCAAAATCAAAATAAATTGTAAAAGAGAATGTTAAAATAACTTAAAAGCAAATAATAAAATTAAATAAATTTTTAAATTATTTTACTTTTTATTTTTATTATAAAATTTTCATATAAATACATACCAATAATTAAAATATTAAAAATAAATGTGAAAGTAAAAATACTTTATTCAAAAGTAAATATATTTTGTGCCAAGTTAAATCTGATTTATTTTTAATTACTACAATCAAATTATAATAAAATTAAAAAAAAAATATATAAAAAAAAAAGAAATATTAACTGAAAAAAAGTTATTTCAAAATTAAAAGAAAATTATAAGCGAATGGATACAAAGAAAGGAAGAAATCCAAAACAATTAGTTATAAGTAAAAAAAAAAAAACTATTTCAAAATACGAAAAAGCTATTTAACACACAAAAAATAAAAAAAGTACCACATTTATAAATAATAAAAGATTCAATATTGCATTTTTAATACAATAAATATATTGTACTTATATATCAAAATATTATATTCATGTATTTATGTATAACTTATATATATTCTTATATAAACTTATATATTTGAAATAAAAAAAAATTTAAAATCAATGTCACGTAATTTTAAGTAAAATTACACTTTCCTTTTCCATTTTTTTTTCATTTTGTTAATATTTAGAATTTTGAAAATTCGAAAAAAAAAACAAAAAAATTAATGGAAGTTACAAAAATTACAAAACAAAAACAAACAAAGAAACAGAAATAAATCTTTAAGTGTTAAAATACATAATTGAAAATACATAAAAGTTATTTTGTTTTTGTTTAAGGTTTAAAGGCTTCCTACAAGTGAACTTAGTAGAATTCGATAGTACTGAAAAAAATTGCAACGTTTACATTTAAAATGAATTTTTTTAAGAGAGAAATGCAAACTATGAGTCCCAAAGCGTAAACAAATTGTGCCCAAAGCGTAAAATTTACAAACTACCACATTCAAAAACATTTGCTGAAAGCCTTTGAACATTGCATATTGTTCAAAAATATACAGTTTTAGACGACATCAAAAATGAGGAAAATTTTTATTGTCTGTCAAATCCCAACGGTTTCTGAGATTTGTACATAGATTTTATAAAAATTTGGTGGAGTTTTTATTTCCTTTTATTATTCGGTGTTATATACGTAACACGTTCGCGGACGCTAAAAATTTCAGGGAGCTACAAAAATATACAGGCAGTTATTTTTGAAACTAGTTGTAATATTTCAAATCTGATTAAACATGTATTATAAGAACAGTCAGAACATTGTATTTTAGCCATTATATACAATGAATGTTATAGCATCCACTACGATATAGATAATATTTTTCAACTAGAGTGACATTAATTATGTAAATGAATAAAAATTGGCTTTAAAATTTGAATAATATAGCGTTCACGCTATTTTGCATCACTATGAAAATGAATGCTATAGTATTCGCGTCCGCGAACGTCTTAAAAATACGTATTAATATTTTGTGCCACTTATTACTCCATTGATATTCTTTTACACTGAAGAAAATATAATTAAATCAGTAATTTCTTGCTTTAAAAGTAATATCTTATAATCGGTTTTGATACCGAAAATTTAGAACTTTAATCCCAATGACTCGAAGCCAAGTTCATACTTAATTTTAATATAAGAAAAGTTATTTTTCCATTCTTGGAAAATTTTTCAATTATTATTTCTTGGAAAACCAAACAATTTTTAGTTATTCGTAAATGACTTAAAGTAAGGGAATGGTATTAAACGTTTTATAGATTTGCATCGATTTTCTCTATATTAAGGTAACTATGTGAACGATCACTGTATTGAATATTCTTTAAAATTTCATCATTTTTATTTAATAATGGTAAAGTTCTATACTGTAAAAAAGAATTATGTTTCTTTGACTTTAAAATTGCAGTAAATCACTGTTAACATAAAATTCAGCTCATGTATGTTGCTGCATATAAGTATTGCGACTATTTTGAAGTCCCAATTTCAATTTCCAAAACATGAGATATGTAAAACCTATTTATCATTTAACCTAGTTGACGCGTGTGTTCGTCTTCTTTCTTCAGTCAAGCCTTTCTATGACTACTGCGTATCCAGTATGTATTAAAATTGTATGATAAAATTACAAAAATATTCTTAAACACATAATGTATATCAATTTTTGGATATTATGTGTATATAATTTTTGAAACCTGAACATGAAATTTTGTTTTTCTGGTGTAATTATTTCTCTAACGTTTTGTTTTCCTAACAAATTAATTACAAATTTAAAACTTTGCAGTATAAATTTATTCAAAAGATTTCAATTATTTTAATTAACGAATTGGGAGGTCAATAACACTGAGGAAGCAGTTTAAAGGCAATTGCTCAGTTTCTAGCATAGCATTAACGGTGCAACAATGAAGGATGGGTCGCCTAATGACACAAAAATAAAAATGAGTATTATTAATTAACAAGGTCTGATTTTTAAAAAAATATTTAGAAATAAATTTAGAATATTAAAGTAAAACTTTGTTGTCGAAGTTCAAATGAATTTTGTATTAAAGAATTCAATATTTCATTGAAAAATCTAGAACTATAATTGAATCACAAACTTTTTTCAAAAAATTAAATCAGAATTTATTTGCCAAAGTATTTCATAGTGTTTTTTGATTTAAAAATTAGTTATTAATTTTTGAATTTACCACAGGTTTTTTTTTCTTTGTATAAAATATATAAGTATATTACGTGTAATTAAAATTATATTTTGTTTATATTTATATTAATTAATATTATTAGCTTAACATTTTATTTTACAACTAAAAACTACCCCTTATTTTTAATTAATTAATTAAAACAGGAAAAATAATAATAAACAGAATTTTTAACTTAAGAGAATATCAAAACTTTTTTATGAACTATTAGACTTTAGTAATGTTAATTTCGTTGAAATTGGTTTTGTATCATTTAATTCCACAGATAAAGGATTTGAGTATTCTGTAATGGGTCGATATGGTTGTTGTCCTTTTTTACTTAATTGGGGTGCATCACTTGGTATAATGTCTGGTACTGGTGGGGGTATATCACCACGGAATGGAGAAAACTGTGGTGTACTACGTACTAATTCTTCAGTTTTTGATATTCCTTTATTTGGTTTTTTATTGTCATCATCGTTAGCATCAATATTAGATGGAGCACCATTTACTAAAGAAGCGTCTAATACTGGTTTACCATCGTACGTGACCACTACGGGTCCATCCTTTTTAATTACAGGACTAATAATTGGTTTTTTTTTTGGATCAGGTGGCAAATAATAAATATCTAAGCGTTCAGCTTGTGCAACTTCAGGTTCATCGCCTGGTATTTTGGGACGCATCAGAAATTTTTGATGATCAACTGATTTTCGTATTATTGATGAATTTGTGCTATCAGGTGGTGACGGAATGAACATAGGTTCAAAAGATAAATCTTCCTGTTCATGGGGCTTCGTTAAAAATAGGGTATCAGTTTCCATAGCTTCATCTATTTCGGCATCCACCTCATCTTGACGACGATTAACGCGATCTATATCATCGATTTCATCATCCGTACGCCGACGAACTATTGGACGAAAACCACCTTCTACAACGACACGTTCTTCTTGAAAACCAGTATTAACCGCTGGGGGTAGAGTTAATGTTTCAGACGATTCTTTAATTTCCTTTATTTCAAAGGGTTTTTTATAAACAATTGGCTGTGCAACGGGCTTTTCTGGAAACGAAGGCATTCGAACAAATGGTATTTTTGATTTTTGAATTCCATAACCATTTCTTAAAGAGTATTTTTTTATAGAATCTTGTGGAATAGAATCAATATATGGAACTGGAATATTTCCCGACACTATTGGTTTTGTTTTCAATAGTGGTTCAGTTTGAAGTGGGGTTAACTCTGTTGGTTGCCCCAACAAAAGAACAGACGCTATTTCTTGAATTGGAAATGGTTTATCTTTAACAAATGGTTTCATAATAGATGGAACTGGTTTTCTATAATGATTAATTATAATTGAACTTTGAGGTACAACAGCTGCTGAAGGTCTGTGCGGGCGCCTTCTTTCAATTATTTTGGGTGGGTATGGGCGTTTCGATGGCGCAACTTTTACAGGGCGAAATAAAGGGGCAGTTGCTGGCGGCTTTAGATATATTGATGGCGACGAATTTGGTATAATTATATGTTCTTTTGGCAAATCTATTTCACTAGAAACGGCTTTTGAGCTTGTAAATATTAAAGTGGATGTATTTTCTAGGGAAGACATTTCTCCTCGTAGAACTTCTGGGGCGGATGTTTGTAAATTGGGATAATTGGAGAGGGGAAGGCGGCTTTTGGCTAAACTTGCTTCTAGGGCTTCAGCTGCTTTGATTCCATCTGTAATCAGTTTTGTTATATCATTTGATTTTACAATATCGAAATGTACTTTTGGTGGTTTGCCTGCCATGTTATGATGTTTAATAAGATCTTTTTCATGTTTGTCTAAGAAATCGTTAGGCCGAATACGAGTTTCATGTCGAATCGAAGATTCAGCTAAAAAATCTCCGTCTGGTTCGGCATAAACCTCATCCACCTCGGATGCCTGAGTTTCTTCGCAGGTATCATGAACATGTATCTTCCAACCAAGATAACGATGTGTAAAACAGTGATAGTACACAGTGTCTGGTGTATTGCTATCAGGAGTCCATGTAACTATTCCAGGTTCACCATCTTCACATATTAACGTTAACGTACGCTGATAGGCACCAAATGATTGATAATCATCTGCAGGTGGTAGATTTTGATCGGGAGTCCAATTACACAAACGACCAACACCTGTTGGAATTATTTTCCCAGACCGTGATTTGTGTACACCCGCGAAGATTTTAACTTCCTATAAATATATAATAAACGAGTTATATATTTTGTGTCATACAAAAAGAAATTTAGATGAAACGTACATTCTTCTCTTCTTCTGTTTTGTATTCATAGCCACCAACGGGATCGTCGGTAATATAAAACGGATGATATTTAGCGGGAGTATCTGAGTCGTTACCACCTTCTACAACAAATCTGTAAGTTTTTCCTCTCATAACATGAATTTCAGGAATAAGAAGTCCATTAATGTACCATGAAATTCCCCAACCAACATGTCCTTACAAATAGGATAAATGTATTATTACAATCAATTTAAAATGCATAACAACAACTTTATTCAATTTGCAAACCTGTTATTGCAGGATATCCATGTTTACCACCAGTTGGACCTAATTGTGCATAAAATACTCCATCATCTGGTTCATCACATTGAATTGGAGGAATTGCCCATGCTCCATTTTTACTAACAGGCTTTGGAGTCGGTACTGGCCTTCTAGGTCTTCCATTTAATTGTTCTGATTGCGGTTGTTCTTTTTGATTAGCTTCTTGTAGTTGAGGCTTTCGGTTACGATTTCCATTTGCCCCATTTGAGGGTCTCGAGTCGTAATATTCCTCATCTTCGTCTTCATCTCTAGTTTCCCGATCCTGCTCAGGTTGTGGACAATTCCAAGTTGGTTGCCGTCCAAAATCAACCAATTGATCTTTTTTAGTGTATTGTGAATGGAATGAAACTTCATTCCTTTGATTAAGTGGACCAATAGCCCACACAATTGCGTGACTTCCATTAATTGGTATAGGTAAGTCATATTTGTCTGAGGCTTTCAATGATCTTTGATAAGTTACAATAGAATATCCATTTACCATAGCTGCATTTAACAATCTAATTGAATTTGTTTTTTCCTGAATATACATATATTAAACGGAATTATTAAACTAAAAATATTTTTAAAAACATAATATTGATATGAAAATATACACTTACCTCTAGTCGTGTGTCTGGACAACTACCACGTGTCCCTGAACACTGTGATTTGTCATCTAAGAAATAATCCTGAGCAAATCCTTTACCAGTAGCCTTATCAACCCAAGCAACAACAACATCAGCACCAATCATTTCAGTCTTAGCTTTATTTGGTGATATTCCAAAGGACATGTATTCATTATCGTCTATAAATGCAAAAGTAATTAGGGAAATATTCTAATTGCCAATAATATTAGAATATTTAAAAATTGAAATCAATGTCTTGGTTTTATTTTATAATTACTAAAAAATAAGGCTTTTTCGCCTAATATTTTAAAACTTGTTATATAATTTAACATGAACAATTCTTACGTATAGTACAAATTTACAAATTGAATTCATAAAAAACAAATTTCTAGAAGTTTTTATATAAACACTTTTTTCTAATGTATTTTTATTATATTTGTCATAAGTCATGGTTTACTATAATAAGTTTTCGATATGACAAAATTTTATCAAGCTTACATATGTATTTTTGTTTTATTAAAATGAAATATTTGTAAATTAATAAATTAAAATAAGTTACCTAATTTTGCAACCAGTTGCACAACAATACTTTCCCCTGCAACAGCCCATCTCACTTCGAATGCCAAATCATCATAAAGCACCTCACAATTTAGCTTTGACTGCGAACATTGAAAAAAGAGAAAACAACAAATGGTTAATTTTATACTGTTATTAATATACGGTTATTTTTGCACTATAAAATATTTTTCAATAATGTTATTTATGGCAGTAATTCAGTGTTTTTAACAAATTTTGAATGTTTTTTTTATCATATTTCTTCTTTAATTATTTAATCAAAAATATTTTAAATCTACATAATGTTGCAGTTTTTCTATAATTTTTTTATTTTTATTTTTTGTAATTTTTGTATTTTTAATTTTTTGTAGTATAGGTAACACTCACCTGGATTGTGAAAATGTTGTTTTATTTTTTATTTATTTTGTAACTATATGTGTATGAATTTTAAAATTTAGGTTTCTGTTTTGTTATCAAAATGTGTCATTGTAGCTTTAATACTTTTAATATATTATGTATGTATATAAATTGAAGCAATATATTTATATAATAAAAATATATTTACAGTCTTGTTTTGTCATGTCACTTTTTAAAATAATTTGTTACTCGTATCGTTAAATATAATGTTATATAATGAATCAATACAATAAAAGAGTGAAATTGTTAATTTAAAAATGTTTGATTTTTGTCTAATAATTTCGAAAACTTCACTGATTCAGAGAGAGGCAGGATCCTGTATAATATATGTTATAGTTTTTATTTTATTGCAGGCTTTTTTATTTAAATTTTAGATTAAATGAATTAGTAAAAATAATGCAAATTAAAATTTTTGTCTTGTAGCAATTTAGCACAAAATAAAAAGTAAAGGTGTTAAAGAACAATAAATTATTAATCTATATACCTATAACTGCTCAAATTTGTGAAAAGAAATTTTTTCAGTGTTATATCTTTTATCATGGGATTTTTTTTTGTTATTTTATGTAATAAATTTATTTGTTTTATATAATTTGATAGTCTAATTCTTGAAAATTTCTACTTTTGTATATTGAGCATCTAATTTGAAATTTAGCATAAGCACCTATCTTTTTTTTTATTTTTCTAATTTAATTTGATATTATAAAATTATATTCATGAAACTTTTTTATCAGCGCTAATATCTTTACGTTATAAGCCTAAAAATTCGAAATTTTAACAAAAACTAACAATTCTAATTTAAATTTTTACGAAAAATATAATATTTTTTAGCATATCTCGTAAAATAGCTTTATTGGATTTAAATTATTTCGTTTAATTTTTCTGTCCATAATAGATCCTTGTATCGCGGTACACTTTTACCGTATCTGCACAATATATAATTTTGAAACCCCTTGTGTTTTCACAATTTTCAACAACTACCACATGATTTAGTTCAATACTTTTTCAATTATCTTGTGAAAGTTTCTATTTTTTTTATATTATTGTAAAAAAAAAAAAATTTAAAAACAATTAAACAAAAAAATTAATAAATTAAAATTTTGTATTTTTGTCAAAAGTCATTAATTATTTCAGTCCTTTTTATATTCGAAAACAAAAAACTGAATGTCGAAATATTGTTGTATACTAATTAATTTAACGAAAGCAAAACAATAAAAAAAAATTAATAATTCAGAGAAAATTAAAGGTTAAAAGTTTAATAAATCTAAATATTAACTTTTTTTTAAATATTTTCTTAGCAATATAAACTTTGAATTTATACTATGTAATTATTTCTCATAGAAAAATTTAAATCTGAAGCTGAACTTTTCAAGTAACGATTATTAATTAATTTTATTCAATATTTTTTTTTTTGTGTGTTAAAATTCTATTGATTTCTTAAATTAATAAAAATACACACTTAAATTTTAAATAATGAAACTTTTTAAGTAAATTGAAAATATACTTGAGGTTGTTAACATTTTGAATTAAAAAAGGCATAATGAGCCAAACCACAAAAAAAAAAAAAATAAAAAATAAATAGCGATCTCGCTCTTAGTAACAATTTGTTATTACTATTTTATTTTTTTGCTATATAAAATAGGTGTCGTCAAAACGCGGTAACACTATTAGAACCTCTTAAGGCCATCATCATATTAAGATTAAACTGGTTCAAATTCAGGTTGTCACGATTTTAATATTTGAATTTTTAAGTATTACTTTTAAAATATTCCTTTTCTTTTTTTTTTTGCAAATTAGAATTTCAAAAGTATGTGTAGCTGTATGTATACGTATAAAAAAAATATGAAATTTTATTTAAGTATAGATTTTAAAGAAGCATAAAAAAAATGATACTTTTTTTATTTAATGATAATTTAATTGATTAAAATTGTAGTTTTTTGTACTTTAAGAGACATGTTTTTTTAATAAAAAAAATTATAGGTAAGTATGTATAAATATAATGTATATTATCAAGGACACTATACTTAATTTATCTTGATTTTGTCTATAGAAAATTATAATTTTGATGTTATTACATATGTTATTGTGTATGTAGGCAAAGCAGTGCTGCCAAATGGATTAGCCCAAATATCTTCAATTTTTTGAAATAATATCTTCATTTAGAAGATTTGGTAAAAAAAAAATTTTAATTGACCCTTCGAGATCTTTAATTAAAGTTCAATTGAAAAATTGGGAAGTAAAAATATCACAGTTTCAATGCGTACCGAATCAGACACCAAAAAGGAAAACTAATGACATGCTCAACAAAATATGATGCAGCGTATATATCAAAAATTTTTATAAAATAATTAAAACCTATATTATTAATTAATATTATTTATATAAAATAATTTTATATTATAAATATAAAATAATTGCAGCGGAGAATATCAAAAATTTTTTGTTGTCGAAGTAGCGTTACCATGCGTTGCCTACTAAAATGGCTTTTGGGTAAAATTTTTTTTTTTTGTGATCTTTGGAAAATATGCAAAAAAATAAAAAATTCCTTAAAAAAAATTTTTTTTAAATTTTAGTTAATTGAAGTTCACCAAAAAATCCTAATTGTGAAGATCAATCTTCAGTTTTAGCAGCACTGTTCTTATACAAAAAATTCAAAAAGAATTTTTAAAAAGCTATTCATGGTTTGTTCTAGCGAATTACATGACTCCATTTTTGAATATTTTATATTGTACAATTTGTATGATAATTTACCTATCATCTATTATTATTATTATTAATATATGTACGTATGTTGATATCATATTTATAGTGTAACACTTATGATTATTCATGTAGTGGTATTTTCTATTGATTAAAAATTAAAATCTGTAGTAATAAGAATTTAAATATTTTGCATTATATAAATTGTTCTTTCTTTGTTTTTGTTTTTAATGTCAACGTAATGTCACGAATAATTCTATTACAAAATATTCAATTTTATAATGATTTATTAAGAAGAACGCTATGATAAACAGAAATTTAGCATTGTTTAATTTAAAATAAAAATTAAGTGCAAATTTCTTGTCGAATAATTTAAAAATTTTTTCATAATTTTTATTCACTATAAATTTTATTATTGAATGAGTATTTAATTGAAAATGAAATTTATCTGTATAGCATAACAGTAAATTATAATGTAATGTTATAAAACAATGTTAAGACCTAACTAGAATGACATATAAAAGTACATACATAAAATGTCAGACACATAGACAAATTTAATAAAATGGAAGTATTCCTAAGTATTAAATTATACCGATGTATTCCGACTGAAGTATTTTTGTTAAATTTTTGAGTAGTCTCATTTCTAACGAAATGGAAAACTAAATATTTAATAGAAAATATTTAATAGAAAATAAAATATACAAGGTTGATCATTTTTTATAGTCAGTCTCTCAACATTATACCATCCTTTAGGTATCAAAAATGAGCAAAGTTTTTATTGAGAACTAGGTGTCAAATCTCAAAGGTTTTAGAAAAACGGAGATTTTAACGAATTTTCTTAAAATTTTTACTTACTCAAGTTCTTTTGGTTATTACTTCCCTTTCGAAAAAAATGAACATACAATTTTCAAAGGGGCCAATTGATACTGTATTTATGTACTTTCGGAATATCAAACATTCTAATTTTTTTCTGTTCCACAGAATTTCTTTTTTAAGTTTAGTGACTTGCTATAGAAAAAAGAATGTAGCACAATTAAAAAATATTAGTCCATTTCCTTCACACAAATAATTTTCAACAATATTATGTGCAGTTCTATAACAAACTTTTGAAATTATTTGACATTTCTATATTATATGTTGTAATGGTTGGGCCTTTATGTTTTATGCTTTTTTTTCAAATTTTATTCACAAAATGCTGAATTTTAAGGATTTTTAAAAAATAAATACTCTTTTTGTATAAATTTGAATTATTTGTAAGGCATAAGTCAGAATTAATACCAACTTTTTTTTAATTAGAATATCATTGTAATATCATATTGGAGAATATTATTAGAAACACATGCCCATAACCAAATATCCTTTTTAACATTCAATTAAACATAATACGTATACGAAAATCCCGATTATATCTACTAAAATTATATCTATTATAATATCCGTATATCTAACCGTGTCCGTATTATACTTAAAAATATAATATTATAAGCATGACATAAACAATGAACTTAAATTATAAACGTACACATTTTTAAATAAAAAATATTATAATATGTTTTTGAGTATACAAAAACGAATAATATGGCTATATAAAATAATAGTATATGTATGTTCTTAAAATTTAAATGTAAAAATGATTTAAACACATAATGATAATACATAATACAATAAAAAATAATAAATAAAAAATTTAGAAAAACATAATTTGCAACATTATATAGGCAATAAAAAATATTCTATCCTCCAAAATAGGTTGTGTATGATAATGTGAATATGTTTATGTATATATGTATGTATAATGAACAAATATATATATATATAAATATTTATATTTAATTTAAAATAAATTAAAAATACAAAATGAAAAATTATGACGCCATTTTTTTTTTTCTTAAAAAAAATTCATATTGTTAAAAAATATGCCCGTTATTTTAATAAAAAATAATTATAAAATATATATGTAGTTTCCAAATGATTGTCCAAAATAAGCAAAATTGTTAAAATATGCATGAGATGTTGAGAATAAGATGAAATTTAATCCTGCGAGGAATATTAATTTAAGTATAAATATATGTATATAAAAGAATATCCTTAACCCACTTTTTTCCATAAAAGTTAGTTATATATTCGTTACCAAATATTACATGCGTATATTTGTAAAAATTTCATTAAATTTATAAAAATTGTAATATATTTGTTATTTTCTATTAAAATTATAAAAATACTAAACCAAACTGCATTTGTTTTTATTAATAAGTATATGATATAAACTGAATGCGTTCCAAAATTTGCGTTCGCAAAATAAAAAGACGCAAAACAAAATCAAAAAAAAATTAAAGAAAAAAATTCAATATGTGCAGTACGTACACCAATTTCAGAGAAATATTTTGGAGAAAACATTTTAGAAAAGTCGTAAACCAGGGCAGTGTGTAGTTATTTTAATATATTTTATTAAAACTTGATTTAATTAACTTATTTAATTAATATATTTTTAATGATAAAATATTGGAATTCTCTATTAAAGTTATACATACTCTTTAACAGTATAACAGTTGTATTTATACTGCTTATTTAAAAAAAAAATAAAACCATTAATCTGGCGTGTTTTTAAATTAAAAACGTGTGTAAAATTTGATTGCCCCGATATTTTTTAGATATAGTTCAAAAAAGTATTCTTAAAACACGATAATAAGTTATTAATTTATTTTTATAACCTTACTATTTTGGACATTCATTCTAAAAGAGGTTTGTCGTTTTTTTAATATATAAAATAAAATAATGATTTTTTTTTTGATAAATAATAAAATCTTTTTCTCTTATATGTTTTGTAATGAAATCAATGGTATAACAAATATATATTACTTAAAACCGATATTTAGTATAGCAATAACATAATTAAAAAAAAATAAGAAAACACCAAGAAAATGGTAAAAATATAAAAGTTAGAAAAACAAATATGAAAACCAAAAAAAAAAATAAAAATAAATGTGAATAATTATGAATGAAATTTTGCGAATTTTTTTTTGGTAACATAAAGACTAAAAACTGGTAACGTTAACTGCTTTTCTCTAGTTTATATTTTCTAGTTTGGAAAGAATTTATTCCTTAATTCTTATAGACACTATACATATATTAAATAAATCGAACAATATATAATTTAAAACTCAGAATTGAAAGTTTTTGTAATATAAAAGAAATGTAGTAATATTTTCTAATATAATTTTGTGACTCGGGAGAGAAAGAGTTTATTATAGAAAAAATTAATTTATTATAAATAATTTATGAAAAATTTATAATATAAATTATTCAGAGATTTTCAGAAATATAATCGTAATTTATATTTTAAATATCTATTGTATCATTTGTGTACTATCTATTCTATCTATAATTTTTATCTTTACTGAAGGAAAATTTCATTATAAAAGTTATTGAATTTATTAGAGTTTTTGCTCTTATTAGAGTTATTTTTTGAAAATTTCAAAAATTAAAGTATTAAATACTGTAAGAGAAAATTTTTTTATGTTAATCTTTAAAAATTTCAAAATTCGAATATGATAAGTTTGTAGTTTCCAGTTTAGTTATGTTTTAATATTAAAAGTAATAATGTGTTATACAAAAACAAATTTTCCAATTTAAAATTTGGCATTATATATGTATGCATATTAATAGCTATTTAAGTATGCTTGTATATAATATATGAAAAGATCTTAAAAAATATGCAAAGGAAATTAAAAAAAATTTTTTTTTTAAGCTTAATTTAAGAAACAAAAAACTCAATTTTTCATTTTGTATAAAAGTTTTTTAATATAATTTATTTTGTGTTTCTTTTTTCGTTTTGTTTTTTTTTTTAATTTTATAAAATTTTAACTTAAATATTAAAAAAACAATATATATTTGTATAACATTTTTGCTTTCAATCTGGTATTTTTATATTTGTAAATTTTAATTAAAACAGTAAATGGCCGCAAAAAACTATTTAATTTAACAAAAAACAGATCTTTGAATTAAAAGCAAAAAACAAAAAAAAAAATTTTTAAATTTCAACATAATTTTTTTAATTAATTAAAATTACAAGTTCATAAATTCATTCTTTCTTTTAATTTTTTTTTAAATTTTTTACAATAATTAACAATTAATAACACAGAGAAAAGAATCCTTTTTCCTTTTTATTATACTTTATAATATAAAATATAGAAAATGTTTTCAATGTATATGTATGTATATAAGTATATTAAAATATGTATGTATATTATTTAATTTTTGTTTTATTTTAAATATATAATAAGCTTAATTAATTCGTGTTTATTAATATATGTGTATATTTAATCATGTATATGTATTAATTATGTATAATTAATATTAAAAAAAAAAATAATTTTTAAGTTACATTTATTTTTAAATTCATTTTCAAAAGAACCTAGATCTAGATGATTTTGATATTACCTGTGGACTAATACCAAGCATTTTTAATGATGGTGGTACATTAAGACCATCTGGTATACGTATATGTCCGAAATCAACGGTAAATGCTTCACACCAAACACCAAAATGTCCAATATCGAATACCGTTAAATCACCGGGTAATGTTAATACAATTGTTTTTTTGTCATATTGACGTAATGGTGTTTCTTTTCCATTTTCATCAGGAATACGTAATCCTTGTGGTGATGGTTTTGTACCACGTCCAACCCAAAATTTAGCATCTTTATTAAAAAAAAGAGAACAAGAAAGAAATAGAAAAATTTAAAAATAAAAACTTATTAAAAAATCGAGATATTCTTAAAATTTCTTTCATTTTTATTAAAATTTCAAATCAATAGTTTGTGAAACTAATTTAATAGATCTTACAGTCAGTTTATCTTTTCTATAGTAAAAATTTTAAAAGTTTAGTAATAAAATGCTTTATTTTGTAAGTATAAAGTATTTATATTTGAGTAGACAAAAGATTCATCGCATTCATTATCGCAATAGGTATACTTCCTGCTTAATTTTTCGCACGATTATAAATTTTACTTTCTCTTACATTATTAAAATATTAATGAATGAATTTCTCACAATATTTTACTTTAAAAATTGCTTTCATTAATAAAAATTAAAACGCATTATAAAATTAAGGTTTCAAAATTTTTTACTTCCGTTTAAGATAAGGTTCTCATAAATTATTGGAAAATAAATTTTTTTGAAATTTCTTATAATCCATTATGATATACCCATTATGTTTTATTTTTTGTTGTACAATTCGTAGATTTGAGCGGAAAAGAGAATTAAATTTGTATCTCGTGGCTAAGTCTACTATTGTCAAAATGTCAGAGAAAAGCTGACATTTTGATTTATATTATAAATTTCTTTTAAATCTTAAATTTTAACGCTTATGGTATGTAATTACTTCTACGGGTCGGGTCTGTACTTGATTAATTACGTACGAAAGAGTAGAAACCACATATTTATGGAAAATATATAGAATAAGCTTATTAATTTCAACTAAAAGATGTTTGTTTAAAATATGAAATGCCGAATTGATTTTGGTATAACAATTTTAAACATCAACATACATACGTACTAAACCTTATCGTCAAACTTTTAAAAAAAGCGCACAAAATTTTTTGAATGCAAGATTTGCTTTTTTAATTGTTTCGAAAACGCATTTTGAACAATTCGGGACGCGTAATTTTGTAAAATTTTTTAAAATATATTATACAGCACGTGATACATTGTCAAAGTTTGGTTTTTTTGACAATATGGAATACTGTGTATCAAATTTTCAAAGGTAAAAAATAAATTAAGTCAATCTATGGAGATTTAAAAAATTATGAAATGAAAATGAAAGCATTTAATTTAATATATTCTTAAAAATTTACCTGGAGCTTCACCATCATAACTAAAATTTGGTATTAATAATGTTTGAGCATCAACAATAACAATATTATCTGAGCTAACAGCATGTACACCCTTTAATGCACTAATTTTTTGTGGTTTTGGATAATCTAAATTTGCTGGTATTCTAACATCACCGAAATTTACAGCAAATTCGTCACACCAAAATGAGAACCATTTAACATCACGTAATGTTTTACCTTCAGGTAACGATAATGTTATATCTTTATTACGATAACGTTTTGTTACTGGTGCTGTACTGCCTTTTTCATCTCTTAAACGCCATCCATCATTTGATGGTTTATCAGTATTACCAACATAAAAATATGCAGCTGGTGCTTCTCCATCATAATTAAAATTTTTTAAAAATATTGTTCTTGAATCAACTGCGTATACATCACCAGAAACACCATGATGTAGTTGTGTTAATGCACCAATTTTTGTACCATAATATGGATAACTGGCATTTGTTGTTGTTATAAGAACTAAAATTAAAAAAATAACACACACATAAAACAAAAATTAATTCAAGTATAAATGTATATATGTATGTATATTTATATATATGTATGTATAAAAGTTGTTTGAATGTAAACAACTATTTAACAGTTATACAGTTCATTAATTTTTAATAATATTATCACAAAGTTGAAGATTATTTAATTCGCTTAAAGTGTTTTAATTACCTATTGTAAAATATTACGATATTACGAAGCATTGATGTAAAAATAATAAAGAATAACAGAATAAATAAATAATCACGGTATAGTGTTATATTTAAAACATCGAAATTAATTAAACAATGGAAATCTTATTTTTTTTCATTTACACTTTTTAATGACTTTATTGTTTTATTTCTTGGTATTTTTTTTCGAATTTTTCAATTTTATTTGTTAATTCTGTTTACCTTAAATTTTTAACATAAAAGTCATAATTACAATAGAAAATATCATTATTATTATTTTTATTATTAATTTCATTATTTTTGTGTAAAAGATTTAAACGAAGGCTTAATGAATTGTTAATTTTTAAAAGTTGAGTAATCTTTGTTTATTTAATTTGGTTCATTTTGAAATAGAGATGCAAAAGTTGTTCAAAAATTTCAAAAATCCAAAACAAAATAAAAGTTTTTTGTTAGATCAGAAATTTTTCACCAAATTTTTCTCCGTTTTTCTACCTCAAAAAGCTAAAATTTTTATGTTTTAATTTCTATAACCTTAAAAAATTGATTAATAATTTTACTATCTATAATACTAGATAAAGTTAAGGGTAAAACAGAGAGCTTTTCAATTAATTCTTCTCCAGTGTTGTAAGATAAAAGTTTTAATAATCAATTATAAATTTAATGTTTTTTAAAATCTACAAATTAGTGTTAAAATATAATAATATTATAAAAAAAGACCTGAGCACCTGAAAATATCGTACATGAAAGAACGCATTCAATCTCAGAATTATCCCTTTTTTTTCTATATTTCCTGTTGTTATAGCGTTATTCTACAAGTGAGGTATACTCATGAAAAAAACATTGTCAACCTCATTAATAATAATATAAAAATAGCTTTCATCCACAGAAACTCGTGACTGACAGTGTATGAGTTATACACTCACAATTCACAAAATAGTTTTATATACATTGTGACGTTTATTTACTCTTTAAAAAAAATTTATCATTTAAAATTTAATGGCTTGCAATCTATTATCACCAAATGTATATAATATACATATCTATATACACAGGTACATATGATGTAGATTGTAGAGTATGTAACATGGCAAATGTACCAAAATGAAATCGAAATATTAAATAAAATAATTCAAATTCATAACCACAGATGACGCAAAGTTCGCAGAAAAGATAAAAGTGAAATTTTATTTTTCTCCCATCGCAAATTCATGACTCTTATTGTTTTATAAACTTTGATTAAATGCAGTTATAAATACCATAACATATTTTATTAAAAGTTTATCGTGATTAAACGCCATAACGTTTTTAATAATTATTAATTGTTGTTAATTACATTCAAACATTTTGTTCAATTATAATATTATGTTATTTTTTCAAAAAAAAAGCAGTTTATTAAAAAAATTAAAAGCACGCCATCTATAAGCGCTGCACGTATACTTTTATTATTCTTTTTTTTTTGAATGAATGTATTTTGTGTGATTATGGATTTGAAATTCTTATGAATTCCTCAAACTGTTATATAGGAATCTGATATTGAAAAATTGATAACAATCGGTAGGTGAAAAGAAAAAGAAAGATATAATCGTACATACGAACATATTTTATATTTAGGTATTTGATGTGAAAATTATGGTATTGTAACAAAAAAAGAAAAAAAGAAAAAGAAATTATGTAGCTATATATAGAAGAATTCAAATTGATATTGCATGTAAGTGTCTACATTTATGTAAATATGTGTGTATGTAATTTTTTCTTGTAGTACTTTTATTCATTAGTTGAAGCGATTTAATGATGACAATGACATTTCGATGTCGATTTTAAATTTTTTTTTGCTGTTACTTTTAAATAATTTATTTAATATTTTTATAGATGTTTAAAATGGCAAATGAAAGTGACAATATTTAACTTCATTTTTTGAAAAAAGGTGACAGACCTTTTACTCAACAAAAAGTAAAAGTATCTCCATAATGTAATTTGAAAGAGAAATTTAGGTATACAATATAGAAATAAATAATATTAACATTAGAAACTTAACAAGCAATATAATGTTCTCTATTGTATCTGTACATACTATGGGTATGTACTGATGTGTTTCTTATACCTTCATATTAAAAAATTTTCAACATAGACCAAACACGAGATGAAAAATTTATTTTTGCTTTCTGATGATAAAATTTTTTTTATCAATATAATTGGTTTGATGTCTATTAGATGTACCCACCAATAGACTTTAGCTTCTTTGGAGTAGACTTTACAAGAATATGAATTTTCTGTACTATTTTGTTTCAGAAAAGCTTTATACAAATATTAAAGTATCTTAAAAGAGAAGGTTTTTTGGTCATATTTTTTATGCAAAAGTTCAAAATGTAAATTTTATTCAAAAAAATGAAAATATTTGGGCTAATCTATTTGGCAGCACTGATCCTTGTTTTTGCAAGTCTGCGTTTTATATGTATATGCTTATTTATATGTACGTATATGCATGTTTATTTATTACCCGTTTGTTAAATTTAAAAATCTTCAAACTGTTGGCAGTTCGGCTTTAGTAGGGTAGTTTTTTAATAAAACAATAGTTGTTACTTAATTAAAAGCCTTCGATTTTACATATTATAAACAAAAATTTATTGAAAAACCAATACAGACATACTAAATTTCTTCTTTACTCGAAAAAATAATGAAATGTGGGTATATATGCTTTCTTAGAGAAAAAGGGGGGGGGGAGTAAGAAAGCTATTATCTAGAAGAAAGTTACTATTAAAAATAATGATTATCAAAAACATAATTTTATTAACTTTCTTTCTTAAATTTCTTTTAGTTTAATTCACTGATATTTAAATTTTAATTTAAAAAGCGTAAGGAAACTCTGATCACTGATCTCTATCTTTATAACAACCTTACACATTAAATTTTTGTTGGTTATAGTGTTCGATTTGAAATAAAAATTTTTACGATTTACTTAAGATACAATGATCGAACGCTTTTTCTTTATTTTAATGGTTATGCTTTTTTTAATCATATAATTATAATAATTTTAAGCAAAACTAAAAGCTTTTAACTTTAATAATTTTAATAAAGAATTTTATAGTTTCTGTCCATCACTTTAATGGGATATAATACATTTAAAATTTTAAAAATACAAAATAGCCTTTAAAATAAAACATTATCTAACTTCCATTTCCTTTTGTTTTTGATACCGTTTTTGTTCTAGACGATGTATGAATTTTTTTTCTAGACTGTAGAAATTTGAAATTTTAACAGCTTTTATATACCAATAGATAGTTTATTTCGCTAGAAGGAAATTGTTTCCACTTCGATAATTTAAGTTTTCGGCACCTTATATTATTTCCTAAACTGTAAGCTTTTCCATATTTTTATAAATACAGAAAGCTAACGGTAAACGCCATCCCATTAACCTTTTAGTTCGACCATAATCTTAACACCCCTTTAGATTTTTCTTCCGCTCATCCTAAGTGTAGGCAATAATTTGAAATGAAAGTAGTTTAATTAATAAAAATGATTGTTTTTAAAAACAATATTTTCACTCCTTAAAGGGCTATACTTTACAAACCATTGCTTTGATCAAACTATATTTTGTTAAGGTACGTACACGAAGAACACTTACAGTACAGGAATGTTTTTGATTTAAATTCAAATTCAAGAATATGACAGTACTTTACAAATACAAAGCATTGTTCAAAATTTTACAATATTTTTAAGAAAGTTCAAAATTTGCAATATTGAATTAAATTTATTTTTAAGTGAATGAAAATCCGAAACATGACGAAAATTAGCGAACAAAACAAGTAAAAGCAACATTCATAAATAAATGCATGACTTTAAAGATGTTCTTTAAAATGTACGCAAAACTTTTTCATAACATACTCGGTTTTTGCTTATAACTTTATTGTATTTATTGAAATATACATACATACATATATATATGTTTTACGAGCGAAAGTTTTTTTTTTCTAAAAAAAATTGATTATTTTTGATGTTTTTACTTATAACCTGTTTAATTCACATGTTAATTTTATATTTAAAATTTAATATTATTTTTTTTCTCTTTTTTAGACACATAAAATGCCTATACCACATACATAAAGGAAATCCCAATATTCATTGTCTTAAAATGCGTTTCTGATGTTACACAAAACCTTTAGCTTCGGTTCAAATTTTTTTTTTGAATTGTGCCTTTAGGCGTTACATATTACATAGGCATTAAATTTTTTTCAGTCATTATTAATAACCCTTTTGATTAAAATTCATTATTATCATAGTTGTTGACTGAAATTATTAATTCAAACACATATTAGTTATGCTCTGAATGTTTTAACAAAAGATCAAATAAAGAGCAATGTAGTACTGATACTCTGTCATGTTACTGAATTATTAATTGTAATTGCTATTACCCTTTGTATGATTTGATTAAGTTTTTTTTTTTCATACACTTTGAAAACGAAAAAATTATTTTGGTACAGTTACAAAATTTTAGAAAAATATAAAATTTTTATTTTACAAATTTTATTTCTATGCTTATTTTTTTCATTTTCATAAATTTTTGAATTGCTGTTTAGAATCCCATTATAAACTTCTAAACTAAGACTAAAATGGTCAGCAATATAATCGAATATGGTCAGCAGAAAAATCTTAATAATGACTAATAATCGATAAATAAACTGAAAAAAAAATATTAGCGATGAAAAATATTTTAAAAATAAGGTTAAAAAGGTTAAGAAAAAAATTAAGTAAACAAAATCTCTGTCATAATATAACATACATAATTCGACTTTCCAAATTAAA